TGTTGGCTCCCACATGTTCCACGATGATCTCATCGGATGAACCACGATGTCAAGGACTCAATCGATCCCGTATACAATTCCTTTTGTCTAGCGGTATAGTACTTGCCCGAGATTCGATCGTCGGTATACCGATACCTTGTTCAATCTCGTTACCGGCAAGTCTCTTTACTCGTTCCGTAACACATCATCCCGCGATCAACTCTTTGATCACATTGTGCACATTATGATGATGTCCTACCGAGTGGGCCCAGAGATACCTCTCCGTTAACCGGAGTGACAAATCCCAGTCTCGATTCATGCCAACCCAACAGACACTTTCGGAGATACCTGTAGTGCACCTTTATAGCCACCCAGTTACATTGTGACGTTTGGTACACCCAAAGCATTCCCGCGGTATCCGGGAGTTGCACAATCTCATGGTCTAAGGAAATGATACTTGACATTAGAAAAGCTTTAGCATATGAACTACGATCTTTGTGCTAGGCTTAGGATTGGGTCTTGTCCATCACATCATTCTCCTAATGATGTGATCCCGTTATCAACGACATCCAATGTCCATGGTCAGGAAACCGTAACCATTTATTGATCAATGAGCTAGTCAACTAGAGGCTTACTAGGGACATGGTGTTGTCTATGTACCCACACATGTATCTAAGTTTCCTATCAATACAATTATAGCATGGATAATAGACGATTATCATGAACAAGGAAATATAATAATAACCAATTTATTATTGCCTCTAGGGCATATTTCCAACAGGCGCCCCTCGCTGTTCTGCCGGCCGCCGACCACCGGCGCGCCGTTGGTGGACGCCAATCGCTGCTGCTGGCGGCGCTCGAAATACGCCGCCCAGGCCGCGTGGTTGTCGGCGGCGTACTATGGGAGGGAGAGTTGGGCGTCGATGAGGGACGCGCGCACGATCTCGACCTCCTCGGCGAAGTACTTCGGCTTCGCCACGGCGTCGTGCAACGGGGGAATGGGCACTCCCCCGGCACTGAGCCTCCACCCCGTCGGCCCGGCGCGCATGTCCGGCGGCGCCGGGATGTTCGCCTGGAACAGGAGCCAGGACTCCTGTTCGCGGAGCGAACGGCGGCCGAAGCCGTTGGCCGCCGCCTCGTCTCCGGGGAAGCGTTCTGCCATGGCGACGGCGGGCTGGGCGGGCTCGGGAGAGGCTGGGCGGCGGCGCTCGGGAAAGGGAGGGAGAGGGAGGGGCTGGACGGCGACGAGGGGCGGGGCTGGTGTGGGCACAGGCGAGTGGAGGGGCGGGGCTGGTGTGAAGCGCCGCCCGTGAGGAATCAATGGCAAGGCTGACCGGCGGCAGCCTTGCCATTGATTCCCCGCGGGAACCGAGGCCGTTGGGGGAAGACGAGGCGCCGAGTCGCTGACGCGGCTGGCCCGCGTCTTTTTCGCGTCAAAACAGCTCGCCCCGGGTTCGGGCTGGGTCCGCCGGCGCTGTTTTCGGCCCAAGCGGGCGAAAATTGGGCTCCTGGGGGCGCGACTGGGCCGTTTTTTCGGCGCCAGCGCGAAAAAATCGCCTGGGGAGGCCTTCCTGGGGGCGCGGCTGGAGATGCCCTGAGTAGCCACCTACTGCTATTAAGTCTCTTTTTCTTCTTCTTTTTGAGACTTGACCCTCCATTATTCCGCGTCATGTTTCTTGTTTTTTGTTGGAGAATCTTTCGATCTATTCATCAAACATCATGACGGTACAAAGAAAACGAAAAGTAACAAAATTACATACATGTCCATAGACCACCTGACAACGACTGCAAATACTATAGCGAGCCAATGACACGCCACCCGTTATCGCCTTCCCTCGCCGAAGCCGGGTAAATCTTGTTGTTGTAGACAGTCTGGAAGTCGTCGTGTTAAGGCCCAAAGGACCAGCGCACCAGAACAGCAACTGTCGTCGACGTTTCTGACGCCATGTTCTCGGTTTCCGTTTATACTTAGATGCTTCGGCGAGGGATTACTAGAATTTAAAATTTTACATTACTTCATTTCCCGCGAGAAAGCTTGAATGGGTGGGTCGGCTCTTGGATGACTCCCCATCATGGTGGTGACTCATCACTTCACTACCCGCCTGAAACTGGTGATCTTGCCCTTCATTAGCTAGACATCGCAATGATGCTACTTTTGTCGTCTACTTATTGAAGGCACTGTGTCTTTGCTCATGTTTTGGCTTCAAAATAATCAGTTAGATGCCACCTAGGATGAAAAATCCTTGTCGCGAGGGGCAAACCTCAATGTAATTATGTATACAGATTTAGTCATACGGTTTTGCTAGAACTCATCTAGATGAGATATAATTTGGTCTCATTCACTCTTTATAGCCATTAGATGTGATGTTATAAGATGCGTGTGTGCTCACGTGAGTTGTATCTGTTCTTGTTTTCAAAGTGAATGAGACCAAATTATATCTCATCTAAATGAGTTCTAGGTACTCCCTTAGTCATATGTGGTTTTAGTCCATTATTGTGTGTCGTGTTTCTCTCAATGTTGCTCACGCCATGTTTTCGATCTCCGTTTTATAATAAGATGCTTCAGCCGTGGTGACTTGCGTCTATTTTGACAACATATGATTGTTGCAGGGAGATTTTGACCCTTTTACAAAAGAAAATATTTATAACAAGTATTCAAAATTTGGACGGAACATCTGGATAGATCATTCTTCTTAGACAATGTAATAATTTCATATTGAAAAGATTACACAAAACGGAAAAAAGGTTTGTATGTGCGTGGAGTAGAGGTTACTACTTTACTTCAGTTCTCGTGAGAAAACTTGAAGGAGTGGGTTGGCTTTC